TCCAGACTCGCTAAGATGAAATATGGCAATTTTTGGATATTTTAAAAATTTGATTTTGAAACCGAAAATGACGAAAATCTTGACCTGGATCCATCAACATGTTATGTTTTTCGAATTCGTTCGTCGAGAGGCATTTCTTAGAATTCTTTGTGTATTTTTAGGCAATTTTGCCACAAGCTAAAATTTTCAACCTTCTGAAATTTTTTGTCTTTTCCGAAAATTTCCAGAAGATATTTTTTTTTATTTTCACTTGGGGAAATATTTTTTGGCACCAATTCATCGAAAATTCCAACTACTTTTCTAAAATCATCAAAATGAAATATTGCCATTTTTGGAATAAGTATTTTAAAAATTTGATTTGGAAAGCGAAATTTTAGAAAAAAATTATGATTTAAAAACCTTAATCACTCTAAGTTTTTTAATTACCTTATCGATATCTGTTTCCAAGAATTTTTTGTGGATTGGATTTTTTTGGCACTATACAAGTTCACTTTTTCGAAATTTCCGAGCACTCTCAAAATTTACCTGAAGAGAGATTTTGTTGGTTTCGGCTTGCATAAAGTATTTTTGTCTTCAGGTCTTCGAAAATTCCAACCACTTGTCCAGAGTCGCCAAGATCAAATATGTCAATTTTTGGATTTTTTAAAAATTTGATTTTGGAAAATTTCGAAAATCTTGGCCTGGATCCATCAACATGCTATGTTTTCGAGCTAGGTCGTCGAGATATATTTCCGGGAATTCTTTGTGTATTTTTAGCTAACTTCGCAAAAAGCTAAAATTTTCCCCCTTTTGAAATGTTTGATCCATTTCTGAAAACTTTCAAAAGTTTCTTAAAGATATTTTTTTGGTGATTTCCACTTGAAGAAGTCATTTTTGGCAAGAATTCATCGAAAATTCCAACCTCTTTTCCAAGAAGATCAAAATGAGATAATGCCATTTTTGGAAAATGTATTTTAAAAATTTGATTTTGAAGCTGAAATTTTATAAATCTTGATCGGAAACCATAATCACGCTATGTTTTTTAATAACCTCGTCAATAGCTATGTGCAAGGTATTTTCGTCTTCATTTCGAAAATTTCAGCCACTTTTCCAGAATCGCCAAGATCAAATATGTCAATTTTTGGATTTTTAAAAAATTTTATTTTGGGAACCACAAATTTCGAAAATCTTGGCCTGGATCCATCAACATGCTATATTTTTCGAGTTAACTCGTCGAAATGAATTTCCTAGAATTCTTTGTGTATTTTTAGACAACTTTGCAAAAAGCTAAAATTTTCCTTCTTCTGAAATTTTTTATCTATTTCCGAGCATCTTGAAAATTTTCTAAAGATATTTTTTTCTTAATTTACACTTCTAGAAGCCATTTTTGGCAAAAATTCATCGAAAATTCCAGCGACTTTTCTAAGATCACCAAAGTGAAATATTATCTTTTTTGAAATATTTTAAAAATTTGATTTTGAAACCGAAATTTTAGAAATCTTGGGTTGGAACTACAATTACAATCACCCTACGTTTTTAAATCGCCTTGTCGATATCTATTTCCAAGAATTTTTTCTTCCGAGCACTCTTAAAAATTACCTGAAGAGAGTTTTTTGTTGATTTCGACTTGTAGAAGGTATTTTCGTTTTCAGTTTTTCGAAAATTTTAACCACTTGTCCAGAATCACCAAAATGAAATATGGGAATTTTTGGGTTTTCTAAAAATTTGATTTTGAAACTGAAAAATTCCAAAATATTGCTTTGGATACATCAACATGCTTTTTTTTGAGTTAGCTCGTCGAGATGTTTACCTATTCCAGAGTTTTTTGTGTATTTTTAATCAACTTTACAAAAAAATAAAATTTTCAATACTTCCTCAAATTTTTTATCTATTTCCGAGCACTTTCAAAATTTACCTAAAAATATTGTTTTGTTGATTTCCACTTGGAGAAGTCATTTTTGGCACCAATTCATCGAATTGCAATCACTTTTCTAAGATCATCAAATTGAAATATTGCAGTTTTTGGAATATCTATTTTAAAAAATTTGATTTTGAAACTGAAATTTTAGTAATCTAGGTCTGGAACCATAATCCGCTGTTTTTTTAAATCACCTTGTCAATATCCATCTCCAAGAATTTTTGTGGATTTTTTGGCACTTTACAAGCTTATTTTTTCGAAATTTTTGAACCTTGTCCGAGCACTCTCAAAAATTACCTCAAACGAGTTTTTGTTGATTTCGACTTGTAGAAAGTATTTTCGTCTTCATTTCTTCTACAATTTAAACCATTTGTCCAGAATCGCGAAGATGAAATATGGCAACTTTTGGATTTTTTAAAAATTTGAATTTGAAACTGAAAATTTCGAAAATCTTGGAACCATCAAGATGCCATGTTTTTCGACTTTGGTTGTCGAGATGTATTTCCTCGAATTCTTTTTGTATTTTTAGGAAATTTTAAAGATATTTTTTTGATTTCCACTTGGAGAAGTCATTTTCGGCAACAATTCATCGAAAATTCCAACCTCTTTTCCAAGAAGATCAAAATGAGATAATGCCATTTTTGGAAAATGTATTTTAAAAATTTGATTTTGAAGCTGAAATTTTATAAATCTTGGTCGGAAACCATAATCACGCTATGTTTTTTAATAACCTCGTCAATAGCTATTTTCAAGTATTTTTTGTGTATTTTTATTGGTACCTACTTTACAAACTCACTTTTTCGAAATTTTTGAGCCTTTTCCGGGCACTCTCAAAAATTATCTGAAAAGATTTTTTGTTGATTTCGACTTGTAGAAGGTATTTTCGTCTTCATTTCGAAAATTTCAACCACTTGTCCAGAATCATCAAGATCAAATATGTCAATTTTTGGATTTTTTAAAAATTGTATTTTGGAACCACAAATTTCGAAAATCTTGCCCTGGATCCATCAACATGCCATATTTTTCGAGCTAACTCGTCGAAATGAATTTCCTAGAATTCTTTGTGTATTTTTAGACAACTTTGCAAAAAGCTAAAATTTTCCCCCTTCTCAAATTTTTGATCTATTTCCGAGTATCTTGAAAATTTTCTAAAGATATTTTTTTGTTAATTTACACTTAGAGAAGCCACTTTTGGCAACAATTCATCGAAAATTCCGGCCACTTTCCTATGATCATCAAAATGAAATACATATTTTCTTTTTTGAAATATTTTAAAAATATTATTTTGAAACCGAAATTTTAGAAATCTTGGGTTGGAACTACAATCACCCTACGTTTTTTAACTCGCCTCGTCGATATCTATGTCCAGAATTTTTTGTCGATTTTTTTGGCACTTTCCAAGCTCAATTTTTCGAAATTTTTGAGCTTTTTCCGAGCACTCTTAAAAATTATCTGAAGAGAATTTTTTGTTTGTATTCGACTTACAGAAGGTATTTTCGTTTTCATTTTTTCGAAAATTTTTACCACTGGTCCAGAATCACCAAGATGAAATATGGCAATTTTTGGGTTTTCTAAAAACTTGATTTTGAAACTGAAATTTTAGTAATCTTAGTCTGGCACCATAATGTATTTTTTAAATCGCCTCGTCAATATCCATTTACAAGAACTTTTTGTGATTTTTTTTTGTCATTTTACAAGCTTATTTTTTCGAAATTTTTGAACCTTGTTCGAGCACTCTCAAAAATTTCCTCGAACGAGTTTTTGTTGATTTCGACTTGTAGAAAGTATTTTCGTCTTCATTTCTTCTAAAATTTCAACTATTTGTCCCGAATCGCCAAAATGAAATATGGCAACTTTTGGATTTTTTAAAAATTTGATTTTGAAACTGAAAATTTCGAAAATTTTGGATCCATCAAGATGCTACGTTTTTCGACTTAGGTTGTCGAGATGTATTTCCTCGAATTCTTAGTGTATTTTTAGGAAATTTTAAAGATATTTTTTTGACTTCCACTTGGAGAAGTCATTTTTGGCAACAATTCATAGAAAATTCCAACCTTCTTTCTAAGATCATCAAAATGAAACATTGATATTTTTGGAATATTTTAAAAACTTGATTTTGAAACCGAAATTTTAGAAATGTTGGTCTGGAACCATAATCGCGCTGTTATTTTTTAAATCACCTTGTCGATATCTGTTTCCAAGAATTTTTGGATATTTTTTTTGACACATTGCAAGCTCAATTTTTCGAATTTTTTCAGTCTTTTCCGATCATTCTCAAAATTTACCTAAATTATCTGAAGAGAGTTTTTGGTGATTTAGAAGTGCAAAAGTTATTTTCGTCTTCATTTCTTCGAAAATTTCAACCATTTATCTAAAATCGCAAAAAAAACTATATACTTTAATTTATTTTTTTGCAGACAAACAAGTTCACAAATTAGGGGAGATTTTGGAACAAAATTACTTTAGTTAATTACTACTAAAGTTAATTTTTAGCATATACATATCGGAGGCACCGAGATTTTTTTATAACAATATTTGTCAAATAAATATTTTAGCTTAGAGTAGAATTAATTCAAGAACGAACTACTTTATATTTCCAGTTTTTATATCTTTAAATATTACTTATATTTATCATGGGAATTACAAGATTTAGAAGACTGATAAGTAATAATTTAGTGGAATAAACTGATAAGTGGTAAAAATACAGGTGTATGTTCTAAAATAAGGTGGAATGAACTTCCTAAAACCATTTGGAAAATAGCCAAGCATTTGTCATCTTAAAATCGTAGATGCCTCTGCTGTTCACTTAAATTATTATGGTGTGAGAACTGATGAGAGATTAAGTTACTACAAAAATCCATTAAAGCAAAAAGGGTGTTAATTACCTAGGAAATTGCCTCATTTAGTTAGACTCACTAAAGACAAGAAGTGGCAAAGTGCTTGATTTTATAGCAACAGTTTGAACAAAGGTATGCGGCACAATTGTAACGAAATTTTCAAGCCATTAAGATTTGACTTAACTTAACAACATTACACCATAATAGTTTTAAAATTCTGCTTGTTAGTTTAGAATCATAGTACAACTTTTTTATATTTCTTGTAGTCACTGGGCAACCACGAATTCGACTTTGGCGTGTCAGCCCTCGCTCCCTTCGTCGAAGCCGCCGAATTTCCCCTAGTAGCCGCCAATCTCAACTTCGAAAAAGAGCCTTCACTCAACAAAGTCAACAAATCAGTGGTACTGGAAGTAACAGGCCGAAAAGTAGGCATCGTGGGCCACCTCACCCCCGACACTACCCTCATGTCGTCACCCGGAGGCGTCATATTCCTCGACGTTGTCGACTCCGTGAAAAAAGAAACCGAACAACTGGCCAAAGCAGGCGTCAACATAATCATAATTTTGGGGCATTCGGGGTACGAAATGGACAAAAAAATCGCCGCGGAAGTACCTCTAGCTGACGTGGTTGTTGGAGGCCACACTAACACGTTTCTGTGGAATGGGGCGCAGCCAGACACCGAAAAACCCGAAGATTTGTACCCAAAGGTTGTGGTACAACCAAACGGGAAAAAAATACCGGTGGTGCAAGCGTACGCCTACACGAAATATTTGGGGCTTTTGAACACCACGTTCGACAAAAACGGCGACTTGGTGGACTTTAAAGGTCAACCAATTTTTCTGGACACTGATATCCCTCAAGAAACAGATTTTTTGAATTTGTTGGAAAAGTACCGACCGGAAGTTATCGCGTTAGACAAAATGGTGGTGGGAAAATCTACAGTACTGCTGGATGCTACTTCCAACAAGTGCAGACATGTTGAATGTAATTTAGGTAACATGATTGCGGATGCTTTTGTGTACTATATGGCTGCACAATACGCCGGTCCCGGATGGACTGATACCCCCATAGCGTTGGTAAATGGTGGTAGTGTTCGAACAACCATCGACCCTTCAGTTAGGGGCGGCAATATCACCAGGGGAGAACTCATGGGCACTTTACCCTTCGAAAACCAAGTGATTACCATAACTTTGAACGGCTCCTCCTTAATTAAAACTTTAGAAATAGGTGCAAGAAGTAACGGAGAGACTTCTAAAGGAGAGTTTTTGCAAGTTTCTGGTCTTCGCGTGGTGTATGATTATAGTAAACCGAGCTATTCTCGAGTAGTGTCGGTGAAAGCAAGGTGTGGAACTTGCAGAGTTCCAATTTATGAACCTGTTGTTGCAGATAAATTGTATAACATTGTGACTCTTAGTTTCCTGGTGGGCGGCGGCGATGATCACTATATTATAAGAGATGCAGATAATAAGAAAACTCAAGATTTGGCAGACGTTGACACCGTGGTTTGGTATCTCAGTAAACAGTCGCCGGTTTACCCTGAAGAACAGGGTAGGATCGAGTTTATTGAACACAAGGAGAGTGACAAATCTTTGGGTAGCCGGAGGATAGGTCCCACGGTTTTGTCCTTAATGTTAGTTCAATTATTATTTCGTTTTTTTATAAATTAAATAGTACTTAATATTTTAGGTAATAAAAGAATTTGAAGGAAGAACAGTTTTAATTTTCTCTTGCTGTGATAAATAAAGCTAGAGAATTGAGTGAAGCAGGTTATGCAACCAGTTATACAGTTTCCAGTAAACTATTTTTTATCTTTGTATTTGCTTGTTTTTTATTTATAGATAAACCACGATTGTTAAAGTTAAATGTATTTAAAAACAATACGCGTTATTCGGCTGTTGATTCTCATTTGGAGTTCTACAGTTAAACTTGGTGGAAGATTCGTATTTAAAAAAATTTCCAATAAAACCGGCGACGTTCAGCAACAAAAAACCTTTTTGTTGCGATTTCATTCTGAAAAGCTTGTTAATCAGTTAAGTCGAGCGTGAGTTGCTGAAATTAAAAAAAAATAGGATTATTAGATTTTCCAGGTTCCTATGTATACACCGGTCGTGGCTTCCCACGCATCCCTGCCACGTTAGTTGTCTGAACAGCCAAATGTTATTTTCTTTTATTTTCAACATCGTCAGACAGGTTTCACAAGTCAGTAACAGTTAAAAAAACGTATCTACAGTACGACAGACAGGTAATATTGCGAAAAATCAATAAACTTGGAAACATCAAGAGTATAATAAGAAATATCACCTCAGAAAATACGGTAGATTTAATGAAATGTTTTCGTAAAGCGAGACGTCAACACATAAATTTCGAGTGATTTGTTTGTTTTTTTTAACTCATTTAAAACTTGAAATGCACTTAACGAAAATGCTTTTAGGGAGGTAAGATTTTGCATTATTTATGACTAAAGTTTCGGGTTGACCCGCCTCTGGTGGGTAAATGCGTTAAATTTACAGGTCGTTCTAAAAATATGTAGTATTTTTACGTAAATGTAGTTTTTATTTGCGTAAATGTAGGTGAACCACCGGGATGTAATGTCGTTACAGATTTTTACAGTCAAAGAAGTTTTGCGAGCTGTGAATATAAGTCTCGACTGGTAGGGGGCACCACCTTCGCGTATAGTGGATTTAATTTTTAATCAACTTGACATTTCTACAATCTCCCTGTTTTTTTCTCTAGGGTTACAAAAAAGTTTCTTAATTAATTAGTTGTATGATTTTTTCCAAACTTTCAGAATTTGTAATTAGATTTTTTCAATAACAAGACCCTAAACACGCGAGATTTCGAAGATTCTTTCAGATTCTTCCTAAAAGAAGGCGCCAAGGGCTCCCAAGATTATTATTTCAAAGTTTATTTAAAGACGAAACACCAACAGCTCCCAAGATTTTGGAAAAAAAAAAACATTAGGGATTAACAAAATACTGTATCCATTGTTCTCAAATCAAGACACTAAAGATTCTCAAGATTCTTTCAAAAGCAAAATATTAGGGGCTCTTAAGATTCTATAATTTTTTCTTAACAAAATATCAACAAGTTCCAACACTTTTTCTAAAACAAAACATCTAATAGGTTCAAGATTTTTTTCAAATTCTTTAAAAAACAAAACATTACAGGCCTTCAAACTACTGTTCAATTTTTTCAAAAACAGGACACCAAGGGCACCGAAGATTCTTTCAGATTCTTTCTTTGTTTCAAAAACAAAATACCAGAGGTCCACAAAATCGCACAATTTTTTTTCAAAAAGTAGAAACCCAAAATTGTTTCTAAAATGAAACATCTAGGGCTTCCGAGGTAATTTGAAGTTTTTAAAAACGAAACATCACGACCTTCTAAGATTTTCCAGAAAAACAAAACATCAGGGGCTCCCAAAATACCTACTATCCATTGTTTTCAAGAACAAGTCACCAACTCTTCTCAAGATTCTTTCAAAAATGAAACACCATGTGCTCCCAAGGTTTTATGTTTTTTTTTTTTCACAAAACAAGGAAAAATTAAGAGTTAGTTTTCAACCATCATAGGTGATAGGTGCGTGATTGTGCGATCCCCGCTTTCACCTGGTATTTGGTGAGCCCTTTCCAATTGTTAATTTGCGAATTGGATTATTGTTATTCCTGTTTGATGGTGTTCATATTTTTGTATTGATATTGGTGCATCTTTGGTTGTTTTCTGGGAATTCAGTACTTGTTTTCCCAGTAACAAAGTTTGGATATCAATTCGAGTTTTATCGTAATTTTTTTGCGCTGATAACGGATATTTTTGCGGAGGTGAAGTACTGTGGCATTATACTCGCCCCAAGGGCGAGTATAATTTATTGAATCTAAACAACATACGCCCAGTCGAAATGGAGACGCCTACGACTTCATTTCCGGCAAGGGATCAGGCTATAGTTCTAAATGCAATTAAAGATTTAAAACTTATTGATTATGTCGTGGCTGTAGGGGATATAGTTGCGCCTAAAAATGTCATATTCGCGTCCCATATGTCGAACGATAGAGTATGCATATATTTAAAAGAAAAATCATATGTTGACTTAATCATTTCAGATCATCAAAATATTGTCGTTAAGGAAAATGCAGTCAGTGTGCGCCGGCTTATAAACCCCGCTAAACGTATTATCTTTTCTAATGTGTGTCCTTCGATCCCTCACAAGATTGTTGAGGATCTCATCAAAAGATTGGGTTTTACCTTAGTATCTAATATATCCTTTTTGAGAGCTGGCATACAAAACAGTGAATATAATCATGTTTTGAGTTTTCGTCGTCATGTTTATGTCCAGCCTAATGATTCAGTTGAACTTCCATCTTCGTTGATATTGAAGTATGATGACACGAACTATCGTATTTTTCTAAATTACGACGACGTTTGCTTTAAATGTAAGCAGGTTGGTCATTTCGCACAAGAATGTCCCTCAACCTCAGGTACTTCAGATACTTCTTCTTCCCCTATTTTACAGGCAAATGACACTTCACTTGAGAAGTCGAATAAGAGATCTAATAGGGATGTGGACAAGGACCGTCCCGATGACGAAGAGGAAATGGAAGGTTTTCAGCCGCTAGATCTGAGTAAAGAGTTATCTTGTGAGGTGGAAAATGTTTTAAGCTCTAGACAAACCAAAAAAATTAAAACTAGTCACTCCACTGAGAGTTTAACTCCGACCTCTGATTTGATCCAGCCCGCTAAAGATTTAATAGATAACGCCCAGTACCCGCTAAATTTTGAAGAGCTAACCCGATTTGTGGAGAAAGCTGTTGGTGAATTGGATATCTTAGAGTTAATACGAAAATACACGACTGACGTAGAAGGGGTCTCTGCTATGCTATTCGATATTTTTCCGCTGCTTACTCATAATAGCGTCCGCAATCGTATTAAAAAAATTAGACTTAAAATTAAAAAGGCGCTTGCTAGGCTTGCAGATAAAACATGTAATAAAGCTACGGATACTGTGGCTGGCCCCTCAGGCGGTTCCTAATAGGGATTCGATTTCGTTTCTTTTCTTTTTCCTTTCAAATTCAATTTTCAAAATAATTCATCTGTTAAATATTTTGTTGGCAATTTAGTATACACTAATATAGCTTCCCTGATGGCAAAATATGACGACTTCTCTGTGCTGGTGCAATCTTTGAAACCGACTTTTATAATGTTGTCAGAGTCGTGGTTAAGCCCTGCGATTCCTGATACATTAGTGGCTATAAACGGTTACACTCTTTTTAGGAACGACCGGGACGGCAGAAGGGGTGGCGGTGTGTGTATCTTTGTAGCGGACTTGATTTGTTCCAGTTTCACAATTAATATCTTAAGCTCGGAAGTCGGCAATAATGAAGCACTATTTCTCAAATTATCGAACAGTAGTATCTCATTTGTGTTAGGATGTATATACAGACCCCCAGACTCTGCAATTGGTGATGATAGAAAACTCTTTACGTTTGTGTCAAAAATTGCCGATAGCTGCGACAGACTGATTATAGCGGGAGACTTTAATTTACCTGACATAACCTGTCCTCTTGATCATAATGCTAATTTTGACGCTCCTTCCCAGTTGTTGCGTGATGTACTGATAAACAGTCATCTAGAGCAAATTATTACTAAACCGACCCGTTATAGAACGAACCAAACACCGTCAACCCTCGATCTAATTATCACCTCGGACGATAAGTTACTAGCAAACTTGGATTATCTGGATCCTGTTGGTAAATCTGATCACGTGGTGTTAAAGGTAGAAGTGCAAATCTGTTTTGAAAGACGAAGGAAGATTACCTCTACTTGTAGGGTTATTACGAATTATGAGCTGGTCAACAGAGATCTGTTCAACACTGACTGGTCCACCATTCTTGTGGAACCATCTGTAGAAGACAATTGGACTAGATTTAAGAAACAGCTTAATTCTGTGGTGACCAAACACACAGTTTCCGTAGTAAGAAAACAGTCTTCAAATAAACCATGGATCACCAAACAGATTCTCAAACTTATTAGAAAAAAGAGGGCGCTGTGGCGATGTTACAAGCGCACTGGTAGTGAGAGTGATTACAAGGCACACAGAGTGTTTTCAAACAAAGTTTCTGCTACTATAAGAGATGCCAGATGCAACTATGAGAAGCGCATTGCTGCTTTAAAAGATGTGAAATGTTTTTACAAATACGTGCGGTCTTCCTTAGTTGGGCCTGTGAAGACCCCTCACCTAAGAGACGTAAGTGGACGTGTCACTGAGGATAGTCAATTGGTCGCTAATTTGTTTGCGGACACGTTTGCTAAAGTTTTTACAATTGACACAAATTCTAATCTCCCTACTGTACAGACACCCCCAAATTCCACAACTATTACTTCCGTTGAATTCTCTGAGGTAGCAATAGCTAAAAAGATATCTAAACTGCGCATAACCAAATCTCCTGGACCAGATAGCATTACCGTGAGTCTTCTCAAAAAGTGCCAATGTTTGTGCCAACCTTTAAAGATTCTAATGGAGCAGTCATTTGAGTCGAGGACTCTTCCTCTTGAATGGAGGTCCGCGGTGGTGAAACCCATATATAAAAAGGGTGATAAGTTTGTTGCTGACAATTATAGACCTGTCAGTTTAACGTCTCACGTAGTCAAAATCGCTGAATCCATTGTTTATGATGTGTTGATAGAGTTTATGATTAACTGTAATATACTCCCTACAGAGCAACACGGATTTGTGCCTGGTAGGTCTGTTACTACAAATTTACTCTGTAGTCTTGAGGACTGGACCAAGACGCTTGATTCCGGCGAATCAACTGATGTTCTGTA